CTCTCTTAGATAGGGTTTCTCTGTGTAGCCTTGGCTGTCCTGGGACTCACTCTATAGCCCAGGCTGGCCTCAAAATCACAGAGATCCGCTTGACTCTGCCTCCCAAGTGCTAGGATTAAAGGCGTGTGCCACCACAGCCCGGCGTACATTGTGTATTTTAACGAGATTCTTTTCAACAAAATTTTCTTTCCCTGGTGGAATCTGATCTTCACAGTGGGGTATACTGAGTCAAGAATGATATCTTTTTTTTTTTTCCCCTGTGATTAAATAAAAAGCAGCTTAGGGAGAAAGGTTTATTTGGCTCACAGTTCAGGGTGCAGCGGTCATGTTGGGGAAGCCAAGACAGCAGGCGCTTAGAGCAGCTGGTCACGTCCCATCCACAGCCAAGCCGCAGAGAGCGATGGATGCGTGTGCTGTTTGCCTTCTACTCAGTCCGGAGCCCAAGCCCAGGGAATGGCACCACCTGCTTTCAAGCTGTGTCTTCCCACCTCAGCCCATCTGCAACAGCCTCTCAGACACGGCCAGAGGCTTGTCTCAGGCGACTCCAGATTTTGCCAAGTTGACATGAACTGTCACGTGTACTCGGCCTAGAGACTGTGCTGGAGACTGTAAGGACCTGCCAGTGGGCCGGGCCCAGCTGATCCCTCCCTGCCTTACAGTGGAGCACCTCTGTTCAGAACACGGCAAGGGCAGGCAGGCAGCTCCCAGACTTTGCTGTCGGGCAGGAAGCTACTTGCACAGTGAGCTCCTCGGCCTCCTTATTTACTCTTTCCAGCCTTTTGAGACCTAGACAACTTCCGTCTTCTGTGACTTTTGAAAAGATCACCTGGGGAAATTTTGCCAAAAGTCCACAAATTCCCACAAAGAGCTAATCAGAAAATACCATAGGTGTGGCTAGCGTGGTGGCTCACGGGCATGGTGGCTCATGTCGTAACCCCAGCACTGAGGAGGCGGAGGTAGGAGGATCATGAGCTTGAAGGCAGCCCGGACAACAGAGTGAGAACCTGTCTCCAAAAACCTGAAACATAACAAGTGTGCTGGGGAGCTCAGTGGGAGCACTCGCCTAGCATGCCCTGGGTTCAGTCTTCCGGACTGAGTAAATGGGAGGTGTGGGAGCACTCGCCTAGCATGCCCTGGGCTCAGTCTTCCAGACTGAGTAAATGGGAGCTCAGTGGGAGCACTCGCCTAGCATGCCCTGGGCTCAGTCTTCCAGACTGAGTGAATGGGAAGTGTGGGAGCACTCACCTAGCATGCCCTGGGCTCAGTCTTCCAGACTGAGTGAATGGGAAGTGTGGGAGCACTCGCCTAGTGTGCCCTGGGCTCAGTCTTCAGGACTGAGTGAATGGGAAGTGTGGGAGCACTCGTCTCGCATGCCCTGGGCTCAGTCTTCAGGACTGAGTAAATGGGAGGTGGGTAGACCTTGGGGTCTGGAAGAAGTTCTTCAGAGTCCATTTTTAGGGGCAGTTTTCTGAACTTGGTATGTTCTAGAAGGCTCAGGTGGAGAAATCAAATGTCCACCATAGAACAGGCCATAGTTTTCTCTGAGATCACTCCTCCAAGCCCAGCACAGGATCGCCAGCTCCGGGCTCCTGAGGCTCAGCCAGCTTCCCTGTCCTCAGGTCAGGGCCTGTCTTACGCTATAGTTTCTATACTGTATTAAGGGGCTGGCCTGGCAAGTCCTAAGAGTTAGGGCCAGCAGGAAGAGGAGCCACTTCCAGCAAGTCACCTCGGGAAATGCCCCACTTCTGGTCATCTGTCTAACCCTGTGAGTCTCTGGACTTCTCTATAAACCTCCTACTCTGAAAATGAGTAGTCCTTGTTACGTTATCCAGAGCTCCCTCAGTCCAGCAGTGCTGAAAGAACGCTTCCCTACCCTGGCTACATGAACTGATGGGGAAGAAAGTCCAGAGCTCCAAGGAGACCCGGTCTCTATTCCTGAGCTCAGTGAAGGTACAGTGCTTTCGGGGTTTTCTTCAACCCAGTTTTCTCTCATTAAAAAAGGAGAACCATAATCAGGGTATACTATGTGAGGAAAAGGGTATTTTCAATAAAAGGGAAAACGTGAAATAAAGGAGAACCAGATATAGCTGTGGAGACCTGTGATCCCAGTACTTGAAAGGCAGAGGCAGGATGGTAAAGAGCTCAAGGCCATCCTTAGCTACATAGTGAGTTCTAGGCTAGCCTGGGCTACAGGAGACACTGTATGCCCATTCCAGGGGAAAGGGGAGAAGGAGGAAACCTTCCCTTCCAGGCAATATCCTTCCTTCTCATCTCCCTAGGAATGCTTTCTCAGGGGAGATGAGAATTACGGGAGAAATCCAGGCCAGCACTTGGAAGGAGCCTGTCATTCACCGCAGGCCCAACGCAGGCATCTCTGATGTGACAGCAAGTCACTCTCCACCCTCTTAGCCGTATTCTGTCCCAGCTTCTGTCTGGCCCTTTGCTCTTCGCCCTGGCTCTTCCCCTTTCTCATCCAGAACAGCTTTTCTAAGGTGGTTACATCATCTCCCAGTGGTTAATCTAACAGACACTGTGCCTGGCTGTATTTTGTGGTGTCTGTCACTGGGGTTCCTCCCTTCCTCCCTGAGACACTTCTTGTCTCTTGGTCTTCCTCCTAAAATTCCTTCCTCCGTACCACTGTCCTTCCAAGATAACCAGGCGTCACAGCCTCACCGGGCACCCTGGGAGTGACTCTCAGGCGAACATCTCATCTCTGTGCTGCCCATCCTTGGTTAGCTCGGCTGTGACTCCTCGTGTGCCACAGGCCTCCGGACTCAACCCCACTGAATGAAACACAGCAATCTGTCCTCTGGGCCCACAAAGACTGTTACTTTCCCACATCCATGCCAGGCCTTTCCTCCCAACCCCTGTAAGTGACTTCACCTTAAGCTACCCAGTCCCTTCCTGAATCACATCACCCTACAGGATGCCCTTGCCCCCAGGCCATGCCCCTCACCCACCCAGTATACTTAACATCTCTACTACTGGGGTGCCAGCAGCGCCCATGTACCCCAGCTTCACTACTCTGATGGCTCCTTGTTGCCAAAATGAGGCAACAACTTCTGTTGCTCTCTGCCAACCCCTCTAATGATCAGCTCCCCCAAAGCTGAACCACCGCTGAACATGGGCTTGGCCTATAGGCCTTCATTTTTTTTTAATGCTGTAGATGGTGGTGGGTCTCCTCTTCCTTGCTCCTTGCCTCCAGACATCCCTGTTTGGCCAGCCTCAGCACCAGGGGGGAACCCAAGGGAATCCTTTCCCACATTCTTTCCAGTTTCACCCCAGTGCCTGTCAGGTGTCCTTCTATGCTCCCGAAGCATCCTGGGCACACATCCATCACGGTGTCTGCCTCCCGGCTGTCTCCCTACCTTGTCTGGAAGATCCTTAAAGGCAAGAACTACTTTTCTTCTCTCCATTTCCATAGCACTAAACATAGGGCTTGACACCCGTGACTGTGCAGATGGGTGGGTGGGTGGGAAGGAGCTGATGAAGGCAGCTGGTGAGAAGACACAGCAGGGGAGGGCCGCTGACCCTCGCTGAATGGTGACAGCCTTGCAAGACTTCCCAGGTATCAAGCAGCCTGGGTCTGGTTTGGGCCTGGACTAAGTGTCTCCTAGGCGAGGGCCCTGCCTAGAATAAACACGTGTCTACACCCAATGTGGGGCTTGCAGAAGTAGTCTGCACTACTTTGTAAGAATCTGTTTTGTCTGAAATCATTTCATAAATGTCAGGTACCCCAGTTTGGCTGTGCAGAATCAATGCCGGACAAAGACAAAAGTTACGACTGGCAGAAGCCAGAGAGATAATTCCCTGAGTGTGGTCGGTGGCAGGGAGTGGGAAGACCAGATCACAGCCTGTCTTCTCGATTGTCCACCTCCCAGGGACACGGCTATACATGAGGACATTGGCACTAGACAGCCGACTAGAACATTCTGCTGCTGCTGAAGGAGCTGGTACCTAACCAGGTAGACATTTGGAAAGCACTATTGTTGGAGGCGGTGATACCGGGAGAGGACCAGGCTCCTCAGCAGCATGGAATCCTCCTCATCCCCCCCCACCATGCCAGGCAGCTCAGCCAGCGACTATGCACAGACACCTGGTCCAGGAGTGATGCTTGTGATTGATGCAGGCAAGGGAGCCTCGCTAGCCATCAGGGAGAACGCCACTGCCTGTGTTGACACAGGACAGCAAAGGCTTTCCCACAGCCATGCACTGCCCCTTGGAGAAACCAGGAGAGGGGAGAGAATGGTTCGTAAGTACAGGCATGTTAGAGAGAAGTTGGGGGGAAAGATGCAAACAGTGTGGGGAGGCCTTGTCAAACCTGTCTCAAAATCTGCGTGTGGGTGAATGAAGTACTGCCGAGCTACAAGGCCTGGTACTCTAGATGTGGCCTGAACATTTAGCTTTCTTTCCATTCGATTATTCTGTATGCACTTAACATACGAAAGCCTTTTGTGCAGATGGATTGCTTCTCCCTGAATGTACCCGAGAGGCAAAGCTTATTTTGAAAGTGGGTCACTTCCCAACCAGGTCATGTGAAGCTACAGCTGACTCCGAGCAAAGGGTCTTGTGGCCCTAAGTCGAAGCACCACCAAGCTGATGGGGGCAGCAGGAAGAGGCTGGCTGCCTCTCAGACAGGGAGGCAGGGTCAGCTTCACTTGCAAGCACTCAGAGGAGCAACCATCCCGTCACAGGAAAGGAAGTGGAGACCCGTGGGACTCAACCCTGTGGGCAGGGACTTCAAGAATGCCGGTTACAGACATTACTTGCAGCTTCTTCCAAGCCAGTTTCAGAGGTGTTAGACCAGCAGTCAACAACACAAGGACAGAGGGGACCGACATGAGATGCAGTTAATGGAGATGAACTGTTTCAGAATGCAGGCTCACAAAGTGGTTAGAAATGGCCAACGAGATGCAGGATGCATGGCGTCATGTGTGTGGCCCCAGGGTGTGGTGGGGTTGGCAGAGTGAGCACAGGATGGGAAAAGAGAAGCCCCAGATAGACACAAAGGCTTTGGTCTTACCACTTCGTCCTCGGTAGGCTTGAAAATACAAATTCACACTTAGTGGGAAGCTGTACCGCACACAAGGTCACAAGCTATGAGCACGTACTACTGACTGCTTTGGGAGAGGATGGCAAATGGGGACGAGGTGCTGGAGGCACCCTTCCTTAGCATACACACAAAGGGAAATCACAGAATTAAGATACATATTTGTAAAGGCACCCCAACACTTGCAATTAAAAAAAAAACAACACAAAAAACAAAAAGCACAGCCAAAGTGGCTAGACTGAAAAACGCAGCCTGGGTCCCTCGCCGCTATTTTATTTGCTTTAAAAATACTATAATGAATAGGCGAGAGCCACGAGTGCTCAGGCAAGGAGAGTGAATTTTAAATAGCTGACATTGGAAGTAGAGTCAAAAGGAAAGGGTAGCCTGGCCTGATTCCTTTCCACTCTCACTCTAAAAAGAAGCAGGTAACAATGTTTAAAAGGTCTTAAAAAAACAAACAAACCCCCCTGGATCAAGAACACATCGATGGGGTAGGCCTCAAAACGAAATACTGAGTGCAGCTGGTCAACAGTGTGATTGAGGATTCTTGGGAGGACGGAAGGATGAAGAAGCTATTCTAAAGGCTCCCATCTTTCTGGTAACAAGAGGTGGGATGCTGGGCGCTGCCCGGGAGGAGGAGGAGAGCAGTTAGTGACTTAGGCCACGTGCAGCGCACCACAGAGCGGCGGAACTCAAGAGGAGCAGAGAAAGCTGCGTGGTTCTGTGGCTGCCCCTGGAGGTTAGAGCAGGCCTCACGGGGCAAGCTGTGGCACCCTACGCAGTCCTGACAGTGACCAATCATTAGTAGTTTTATTTTTCAAGGAGATGATTGATAAGCCTCTTAGAAAACAAGACTGGAGCTGCCCAAGGTAGGAGAGGAAGCCCACACCACTGGCTCTTACCTCTTCTGCGTCCTCTGAATGGGTGGAGAGCTGGTCATGCTGAATAATCTCAGCATCCTCCTCTGTCGGTCCGTTGCCCACCCTGATCCCACCAAAGTTGAGAGTTCCCTACACAGATGAACAGAAAGAGTAGTATTTGCCTGGGCTTTACTGTGGCACTCTGTGAGGTGGGGAAGGGCGATGGTTAGTACATACAATCCTCAGAAAGGCATAATACATCCTAACAACAAAAGCAACATCCACTGATTGAACAAGCTAAGGAAAAAAACGAGTAACTGTCCCACCCCAACCACCACTGCTATGGCCCCCACGAGTGGCAGCCTGCGGTTACCACCTCATCTGGCAACACCAAGACAAAGCAACCTTGCCTTGGCCAATGCTAACAGAGAGTTGTGTGACTGAGAAGCTAAACATGAGCACACTCCCATAACAAACGCAGCCTGGTCTGTACAGTCTGCAAGCGCCTAATTGCTGCTGGAACTGAAGGGTAGACTTTCCATGTAGGGTGTGGGGGACAGATGACAGCCAGTGACGTGATGAGTACACCCTGATCCGACATGCTTTCAACAGGAGCCCAAGGGTTCCAGCAACCTCTACCAGAAATGCACCAGGTCTGTCTAGGCACAAAGGACTCCCCAGGTCAGGGAAGAAAAAAAATAACACCCTAACAGACACTCATTTGTGGCTAAAGAATACTGAATTTTAAAAATGTAAAATAAACCAGAGACCCCTCTTGATCAGAGGGTTGGGGGCGGAGCAAAGGAGACTCAGGAAGCAGCCCCTGAACTACTGCTTATGGGTTCTACCAACTCAAAGCTGAGGGCTGCTTGCTGCAACTCCAGCTTTCCAGACAGCTTGAACACTGTGTAAACAAGCTGGCACTTCCCTGTGGTCTCCCTCCTCAGCTTCACCCTTTGGCGCCCTTTTTTTTTTCTTTTTTACTACAGATCACTGACCAGTTCAGACCCCAGTGTTTATGTAAGTAGACCCCTCTTTTCTTATAGTGCTCTCCTTCAAGGCTGGCTACAGAAACAGCCACAGGAAGAGCACTTTGGAAACTACTTTTTCTTTCTTTTTCTGTTTTTGGTTTTTTGAGAAAAGTGTTTCTTTGTGTAGCCCTGGCTGTCCTGAAACTCACTTTGTAGACCAGGCAGGCCTCAAACTCAGAGATCCGCCTGCCTCTGCCTCCTGAGAGCTGGGACTAAAGGCGTGCGCCACCACCGCCCAGCCGGAAGTTTGTTTCCAGTAAATTCTCAAATGCTGTCCCCAGGAAGTGTATACTTAGTAGGTCTGGGGTGGAGCACAGGGAGGCATTGCTGGAAATGGTATAATCCTGTGAAGGGCACACCAAATACAAAACACACTGCACCCATGGACATCCAGCAGTCCCATTGCTAGGGCATCCATAGTTACAGAATCCATAAGATACATATGCATCGGGATAGTCTCTGCATTATTATTTATAATAGCAAAGAATTGGAACAAGTACCACATCCATCATCGACAGTAATTACATAACTTTAGCATATCCAGTGGATTCTAGGGAATGCTGGGCACCGTAAAAAGACTGGGGACTACTATGAAAACAACCTCTAAGATACACCAAGAGGTGGAAGAGTGATTCAGTTTAAAACAGTCCCTGACATCTCTCTCCTTCTAGGCATGTGTACACGTCAACATGTGTCCTGACAGATGACAGACATGTGCTGAAGGCAAAGCCACTACCTGATAGCAATGCCCCTGGAGGGGGAGAGTGGTGGGACGGGTGCAGAGGGCACCTCGGACCTCCAAAGGGAAGACTCTGAGCAGTACAGAGGGCTCAGGGGAGACGCCATTGTATCTTGGCCTGGGTTTACAGGGTAGAGGAGGAAGGCTTCAGAATTCAGGATTTCCCAAACAGGCCATTTCTGAAGGTTTTCCTAGCCAGCAGAAGAAGTGGGAACAAGCAGGTTAGACCTCCTAGGCAGACTGTGATGAGTTACCCTGCAGAGCACAGGCCACAAGAGCTACAGGGAAGAGATGAGAGACACATCAGCGAAAACCGGAAAGGACAAGCTGAACTGTGCTAACACCACTCCAGAGACGCCCAAGAGGACAAGCAGAACAAAAGTGGATCTATGCTCTCAGCCCCCGGAGGTCAAAGGTCCTGCTGGGAGGGTGGTCATCGGACACCGCTGAGCTGCTCTCCAGAGACTGACTCAGCTACAGAACCAGTGGCTAAGAAGACCCCACAGTGTGGAAGCTTCTGGATGAGCAGGGCTTTGCTGGAGTTCATCATGGAAGATGGCGCCAGATTTCAAGGCCTCAAGATGTCTCAGATGTACCTTACAATGCCGAGACAGTGGCAAGAACACTATGTGGAAGAAAATCCACGGTGGGCAGGATGTGTTCCTCTTGAGGATAATCTCAAACAGCAGGATTAAAGTTCCATCCGGCACAGACATGCATTTTCCTTAAAGGAGTATATGCCAAACAGAGCCGTCCCGGCCATGGAGGTCAAAAATCCAGGATGCTGGACTACACAGACACTAGTGCATTCTAAGACTCTGGTGAAGAGATGTTTTCTGAGGACAAATGCTCAAATGCTTAACATTCCAAGTGTGGACATTGGATTGAAAGTTAGTATCAGAGGAGGGGAGGTCCAGACGGGTGGATTTGGGTGCCATGACGGGTGTGCGGCATGCAGGAGACACACGAGAGGGAGGGCTCAGAGAAATGGCCGAGGACACAGGGGAGAGGTCAGACCTTCTCTAAAGAAGGCAGTCATGGCTGGAAACCACCAAAAAGCCAAGGCCAAGTACCCTTTAAAGATGGACCCCCAAGCACAGAGACACCATGAGAGTCTGAACTCCTCTTGCCTCCATGCCGAAAACTTACCCCCACACACGGTCACAAAACACAGACACAAGAGTGGATGAGTCCGAAAGCTGCTGGCTTCGAGTAAGACGATGGGACTGAGGAGGAAGAGCAGCCACTTTGCTCCCGAGGGTAGGACTCTACTCACACATCTGAGGGAGACTTAGTAGGCCCATGGTAACGATGATACCTGAATCTATTCCTAAGAGGTGGAAGGCTCCTCTGTCATCGTCTCAGTGAGCAACAAGGCCACACTTCTGGAGAGCACGCGTCCCACGCTCTCAGCAGCGTTAAAAAAGAACCCGGCTGCACTGTTTGCCGCCTCTTTAGACAAACATGGGCTCTGTTGGAGTTAATGGACTCACTGTCGCAGCCGACACTGCCTCTAGTCCCTGCTGGCTCGGGGTTGGGCTGACTGGGGCCTCCACGGGTTGCCCTTCCTGATAGTGAATGGGAGAGAAGAAGAAAGGAGAAGAGAACGAAACGGGGTGGGGGCAGAGGGGAAGGAGAGACGAATGGAGGGCACATGAAAGGATGAGGATGGTCAGAGAAGGGAGAAGGAGGGTCTGGTAACTCAGCTGCTCTCCAACGGGAGGGATCATCTCACAGCCACAGGGATCATGCAACAAGATCTCTCGGGTTTCCCCAGGCAGGTGCAGTATGTAAGCGTCATTGGATAGCCAGAAATTACACGCAGTATTGAACATTTGGCAAGCTTAACTTTGTGTGTGGAGTTGGTATACACACAGGCGTTAAGTAAACACCTGTATGTGCATATGCTGCTTTTTAAAAGAAGAAAAAAAATCATTGTGCTTTAAATCAGACCGCTTTCCCTTTCCCAGATGTTTTGACTGCATCATGATCTCATCAAAAAAAAAAAAGTCTTGGTGTCAGTCCTGTGGCTGTCCAGGCAAACCACACGGGCAAGTGCCATCTGCAGCTCTTCTAATCTTGTTTTGGCTGCGTCTAGACAGGCCCAGGCCTGGACTCTGCATGACCAGGAAAGGTAAAAACATATGACTTATTCACTCCAATCCAGTCACTTGAAGCTGGAATTCAGGTGTCTGAGCAACACATACATAGTTCTCTGACATCGGCAGGCCTGGTGTTCATGCTCGTATGTAACACAAGTGCACTTGAAGAATACATGCATGTGTGCACCGTTCATTCTGTCCTCTGAGGAACGGCCTTGATCTTAAACAAGGAAAACGTCTAATGACCTTCAGCCACAGAAATATACTCACCAAATGCTTCTTCCGCAAATACTGACGGCGCAGGATCAGTGGCTTAAACAGCAGCATCCAAGGGACACAAAGCATGGCCACCACTGTGAGGAAACACTGAATTCCTTTCTGCAAAGCAAGAGACAAGGTGCTTCACACAGTCCCTTAGTCACACTGTTTCCAAGGACAGCGCAAATTTTACCCCAAACAATATTTTCTTATTGGTCTGGGAATATTATCTGGTTCTCTAAATAGTGAGAAGGTGCCTTGACAAACCCAGTAATTGTCCCCCATAAAATGGTAGTTCTAAAATCTGCCCCCCTTTACTCATCTAATTGTTTGAGACAGGTCCTCATTATGTAGCTCATCCTGACTTGGAATTCACTAGGTAGCCCAGGCTTGCCTAGATCTCTGGCCCCTCCTGTCTTAGCCTTTTGAGTGCTGGGATTACAGGCCCGTGGCACTCAGCCCTACAAATTCTATCCTTTATAGCACAGAATTATAGTGAGCCATCCCGAGTTAAGAGGGATGGGGGAGTGGTGTGACTTGTCGTATGAGCTGAAAGCCATGTATTACAGAGCACATCTTTAGGTTTTCTTCAGGTCAGAGTTACATGTGGCTTTGTGACCTGGGTAGCCACCTACAACACCCCTTCTCTGGGGCTGACGTACCTGTCCAGAGTACAGCATTCCATTACCAGACTCTGGGTAGGAGAAGAGGAACATGTTTATGAAGTGGATCAGGAGGCTTGGTGCGTTCTTAGATGAGTGGACATCGTAGGCTGTCCACTTGTAAAAGATAAGGATGACCAGGTAGCCAAACAAGGAGGACATGAAGATTATTTCAGGAATAAAGCCGAAGTAGATATTCAAGGGCTTCTTGAAATAGCTAGGATGGGAAAGAGAAAAATGATGAAATTCAGAGTGACCACGCCCATGGTACTACTCCACCGATGGAACGCTCCCTCAGCTCCGGAGATGACAGAGACAGCGCCTCCACACTCCTGGGCCTCCAGTGGCTCCGGAACCACCTCCCACCCTCTGAGGAAGCGCCTGGAAGCTCTAATCTATGGATACAGTTTGCAGTTGTGTATGAATTACACACCAAGGGAGAAGTAAGGGCTGGAGAGAGGGCTTGTCAGCTAAGAGCACTGCTGCTCTTGCAGAGGACCCAAGTGCAAATTCCTGGCACCCACGTCAGGTAGCTCACAACTTCAGGTGACTCCAGCTCCAGGAGATCTGATGCCTCTGGCTTTGTGGGCACCTACACACATGTACATACCCTCCACATCCACTGAATTCAAAATAAAATTAATATACATGTTTCAAAAAGAATTCACTTAGGCTTGGGATTTAGATCCATTGTAGTGTCTACCTGGTGGGTACAAGGCCTGAGTCAGTCATCAACAACAAAAGAATTCACTAAATCCGACGAAAAATGTTGCATCTTTTTTCAAAGATCTTTTTTTGCACCTATAAAGCTATGGAACTAATATCAAGTCTCATTTAAGACCACAAGGTTTGTATAATCTAGACTGCTTCTACAGTATAGAATGGGGTCCTGAGTTACTGATTCCTCTCCAAAGGTGTAATGATTTCTTCAGGCAAAAATGTTATCTGAATAACACAGTCTTCTGATGACAGGGACAGAGACTCACATGTGGTTGAAAAGGCTCAGGCTGACTCCAAACAGCATGTGGATGATCCCAAGAATAACAGACATCTTCATCTTGAAGGAGTTGAGGAAGGTCAGTTTATTGGTTGCAATGTTCCAAATCTGTTGAATGCAAGAAAACCAGACGGTACCACACAAGGAATTCTCAAGTGGGAAAACAATATCCATCTACCTAAAAAATACTCTTCTTATTATGGAAAATTCTAAACAATTTATTCAAATAAAGATAATACTAAAACAAACTTTTATGTACTTATCAGCCAGCTTTGATCATTCCCATCAACTTAAAAGACTCACGTCAACCTTGTTTCACTGTACTCTCTTCCCACTTCATTATTACTTTGGGGCAAAGCTGAAATAGCCTAGTGTTTTACTTATAAATATATTTCAGTATGGATCTCTAAAAGGTAGGACTTCTTTTAAAAACATGGCTACAATACAGTCATCATATCATAAAAGTATCAACAATGAGATTCTTTGTGTGTGCTAGAGTCTGAAGTCAGGACTTTATACTTTTTTTTTTTTTTTTTTTTTTTTGGTTCTTCCAGACAGGGTCTCTTTGTGTATCCTTGGCTGTCCTGGATCTCACTCTGTAGACCAGGCTGGTCTTGAACTCACAGAGATCCACCTGCCTCTGCCTCCCAAGCGCTGAGATTAAAGGCGTGCACCCAGCTGCTTTATACATCTTGTATACACCAGGCAAGAGCTATACCATCGAGCTAAGGCCCCCTGCACTACCAATGCTCCATCTCCCCCATGTGCAGGGGTTACAGATATGTGCCACCTATTTTTTAAGTATCAACCAGGGGCTGGAAAGAGGGCTCAGTGGTTTAGAATACTTGTTATTCATCCAAGGGACCTGGGTTCAATTCCCAACACCTATATGGTGACTCACAACCACCTGTAACTCTAGTCCTAGGTGATCCAGTGTCTTTTGGCCTACTCTGGTACCACACATTTGTGATGCATAGACACACACAGGCAAAACTCCATACACAGGGAAAAAAAGGCAAAAAAAAAAAAAAAAACCCAAAAAACAAAACAACAACAACAAAAAAAACAAAGCATAAATAGGTAAAAATTCTTGCTACATTGTTGGGGTTCTTTTTTCTGTTTTTATGGAGCCATCAAGACACATTGCCCAAATCAAGGATTCATAAACTGTTTCCATTGGCAACCCCTTTCTGTCTAAGAAATATGATGCTATCCTGGGTAGAAAGAAAGGTATATAAAATAGGCATGCAAGTCAAACACTCAATGAAAATGAATCATAAACTTAATTTTAAAGCAAATTTGGTAAAATTTCATCATTTATTAAAGAAAACAAATTAATACAGAAATGAGTTGGATATGCTTATTTTTTTTTTCATTTTTTAAATTTAATTTTACATATCAGCCACGGATTCCCTTGTTCTCCCCCCCGCCAGGATAAGCTTATTTTTACATAGAGAATTAAATCTTAATCTAGGCATGGTGGCACATCCCTGCAATCCCAACACTTAGGAGGTGGAGGTATGAGAATCAGGAATTCAAGGCTACATTTCACCACATGGTGGGTGAGTTTGAGGCTAGCCTGGGCTATGTGAGACTCTGTCTCAAAAAACCCACAAAAGAATTAGATCATGGCGGACTATTTGCTACTGTCTGTTATAAAGCATCTTTAACATTTTTCAGACTTGATCAATGTTCTAACTTCATAATTATCAACACTAGGATGCTGCTCTGCAGAAGTACATAGTGCAAAATTGCAGAAGTGCATTAAGGGTCATTGCAAAACTTATTGGAAATTCTGTCCTAATTTCAGGCTAGATTAATTTAATGACTGTTTTCCCCTCTCAAAGGAACTCAAGGCAAACAATTCAAACATTCTGTGCTGGGGACACGATGTCGTGGTTAGAGTGCTCACCTAGCATGCCTGAGCCCTGGGTTTCATCTATACTAATACAAAAAATGAAAATAAAACATTCTAATACAACACAACCCAAAAAAACACTAATCTGATACTTATACGTTGACGAATAATGATAGAAAAACATGTTTCCCATAATTATACCATTGTATTTCTATAAGAACAAAAACCTTGTATGTACATTTTTAAAAAACTGTCACTCCTCACCTGACTTTTTTGTTTTGTTTTTGTTTTTCGAGACAGGGTTTCTCTGTGCAGTTTTGGTGCCTGTCCTGGATCTCACTCTGTAGACCAGGCTGGCCTCGAACTCACAGAGATCCACCTGGCTCTGCCTCCCGAGTGCTGGGATTAAACGCGTGCACCACCACCGCCTGGCTCTCACCTGACTTTTTGAGACAGGGTCTCTCACTGATCCTAGCATTAACTGATTCAGCTAGTGGCTGGTTAGTGATCCCCCAAGCTCAGCTGTATCTCCTCCATAGTGCAGGGGCTACAGGTGTGTGCCAATACCCGCTCCCCTTTATGTGGGTGCTGAGATCTGAACTCAGGCCCTCACAACAAGCACTTTAGTGACTGAGCATCTCCTCAGTTCCAATTTTAATTTTTAATATTTAGTTAGCTTTTAGGGTTTTGTTTTGTTGTTTCTTTTGGACAGGGTTTCACTACACAGCCTGAGCTGGACCCATACATGGAATGATCTGACTACCTCAGTCCTCCAAGTGCTGAGATTCTAGGTGCGTATTTTAGTTATCCTCACCTTAAACCTCTCATTTCAAGATCAGTTAAGAACGTCAAAGCTGAGGCAGGAAGATTAAAAAAATGCAAGTCCTGCTTAAGCTAGAGTGAGTTCAAAGATAGTCTGATAAGAACGTATCTCAAAATGGAAAAAAAAAAGAAGTAAACTGAGCACTGGCATACAGCTCAAGAGGTAGAGCATCTGTCCAGCCTGCACTAAGCCTTCGGTTCCATTCTTAGTACTCATGAAAAGCAATCTTTGGGGAAAGTGACATGTAGAAAAGACGCACACTTACCGGATCAATGCCAAATGGGTACGGTCCACCAAAAACTCCAGGGATAGCTGGGTTCAGCTGGAGAACAGAGCTCCCCAGAAGCGTCTCTTCCCTGTGGGGTTAAAGAAAGCCACATTTACTTTTGATTAAGAAAAGGAAACTACTAGGTCTAAAAACTGGGCACAAAAGAAATGACTACAGGGCTGGAAAGATGGCTCAGTGGTTAAGAACACTAGCTGCTATTCCAGGAGACCCAGGTTCAATTCCCAGTGCCCACATGGCAGCTCACAACTGTCTGTAACTCCAGTTCCAGGAGATCTGACACCCTCACACCAATGGACATTAAATAAAAAGTTAAAAAAATATTTAAAAAAAAAAAAAAAAAAAAGACAGCCGGGCAGTGGTGGCGCACGCCTTTAATTGCAGCACTTGGGAGGCAGAGGCAGGCGGATCTCTGTGAGTTCGAGGCCAGCCTGGTCTCCAAAGTGAGTTCCAGGAAAGGCGCAAAGCTACACAGAGA